GCCCAAAATTGATATTGATTTGCAAGGAATGTCTGGTATTTAAAGGCAAAAGTCTGGCCCATCAACACGCGTTCCACTCTAAAGGCATATAACCAAATAAAGCTTAAAACCCCACAATGGGAATGGGAAATAGAGAAAAGCAAGCTGGTAGCGGAAAAAATCAACTTTCCCAGCCGCACCTGACCCTTTCGAGTGCCAGGCCATATTGCTTCGTTTCGTTTCGCTTCGGATGGTCTGGGTTCCTGGGTTTCTGGGTGCATTAAAAATAAACGACTGTGGGCAGCGCTCAATTTGGAATGAAATTGGCGCAAATACCAAAAATTTATACAATGGCAAATGCAGCAAAAAAGGAAATACGAGCTCGATGTGGTGAGGAGGAAAGAAAAATAGAGGGGAAAAAGGGGAGCTGAAAGCAACTAAAGAGCACCAGAGCACAAATTGAAAAGCCATACAAATCAAATTGGGTGGGTGTGAGCGCTAAGTTTATTGGACGGCCAGTGTGTGTGTGTGAGTGTGTGTGTGTGTGAGTGTGGGGATGCTTTATAATTTATAAGCGGCCATCAGGAGTGCTCATTATGTGGCACAAAATAAGTAAGTGCCACTCGTTTGTACACAAAAGTAAACAGCGTGGGAAAATGCATAAAAAGTGACCAGCGATGAGGTTCATAAATGAGCCTTGAAAAGCGCACATCCTTGCCCAACAGGATGCCACCCGACACACCCGTCGGCAATGGATATGGATGATGCCCTGCAGCGGTTCCCCCCGGCGGAGAAAAAATTAAAGGTAAACGAACGATAATCTCGGGAAAACATGCACAGAATAATTCATGTTGAGCAGGAGGAGAAAATTCGACAATTGAGATCTAAGAATGTGAGAAATTAACAGATAGTTTGTGTTTTTCAAGAAGTAAGAAAGGTTATTACAAGGAGGTGTAACAAAAATGACTTAAAAAGGTTTAAGATTAATACCCCTTTATAAAAACACATAGTCCAAAAAAATGAAAGTTTAATTTTAAAGAGTGTGTCTTAAAAATAAACAAATAAATAAATTAAATAAATAGTATTAAAGTATTATTGTAATTTTAATACTTAATAATTTATCCCCATACTTTGTTGTTTCATTTCTATACCAAATAGTCTAAAAGTGTAAGGCCTTATTTTTAGGACACATAAATTTTTTTTAATACTTTCGTGGTATTAATTTAATGCTCATCTTATTGAGAAATTTGTCATACCCAAACGCTTAACGCTTAATTCATGTAACAATAGTTTAGTTTCTATGACAATTTATTTTGGTGTAGTATTTTGTTTTAAATTTATTGAGAATCAATAAAACTCTTGTTAGATAAAAAAATTTATTTTATTTTATTATATTTTCGATTGAATGCTTTAAAGAAAAATAAATGCAAACAAACTCAAAATTAAAAGGTTATGTTAGGATTAATTTATTCATAATTTCCTTCAAGTGATTACTTGGAGAACGACCCAATGACAAATTTTTGACACGAAAAGCAATTTGATTAAATTGTAAAAATAAACAAACCTGTGTCAACATTTTGGTCGGGTGAAATTAGACGACCAGCGTTCTCTTTTTTTTCCATAAGTATACAAATAGCACCAGCATGTGGACCTTAAAAAGTTGCTGCGTAAAAGCATCGAACTTTTGTGGGTCGATTCCTTTGTCTTTCCAATGCAATCAATTTGGACTCAGTTTGTTGTGTCCTCTTCGCCAGGCAGAAATCAAAGACTGCAAAAGCGGGTCTGGGCAGTGATTGCAATCTGGTTCGATCTCATTTGCCGCGAAATGTCGAAGACATTTGACCCCGTATTGAAGCCAACTGCCAATACCAATTTAAAGGACTTTCCGCCTTATCAAAATGGACCTCAGTTATCAGCTTACTGCTGCATAAATTATTGCCCCTTCCCATTCCATTAATAGATTTTTCACTCTTTCAGTGCAAATAACGTGGAGGAATCTGTAGCTGTAGCATTTGGTTGCTCAGTCGAAATCAGAGAAGAAAATGCTGGGAATTTCGAGCAAAATTTAATTACTCGAGCTGAACTCAGGACTGCAGGACCGAAAGAACTGAAGCCTGCATCGCATCAAAAGCTGCAGTGCCGGCGCCCAAGTAGCAAAGTCAGTTCGTTTCATTTGTTTATGCATATTTTACAGAGCGAGGGGGCAGCACATTAACAGTCGGCTGTTGGAGAAGCGATGGGTTGCAAAGAGGAATCCGAGAAGGAGGAGCAGGCGCCGCAGGATGCCTCGGCCGGGAAATCGGGGAGGAGCGGCTGAGGGGCAGAGGCACCAGAAGTTGCAAGACAGGCTGTTGCCAGTGTCGTTGATGCCACTCCTCTCGTTTCTGCTACTACTGCTCACTGCGTAAACAGCGAGCTCAGCTCTCTATTCGCCGCCTTAATGACCGTTCGACACCATGGCGTATACGCACTGTGGGGCAAATGGTGCAAGCAAGTAGGCGGATTGTGTCCAAGAATGTAGATCTTATTTGCTAAATATCATTTATTTTTTATTGAAAATTAATTTTAAGATTGCTTAAGTATCCTATTTTTATTATAATTTTTACTTGACCTGAACTCCAACAAATAAAATAAAGTTTTCTTAAAATTAAGTTAAAACACAAAAACATCGCATTTTTTAACGGATATCGTAGCACTTGTAATTTCCTTATTACCCACAAATGTTTGATTAAATTATAAAGAAATGCTACTATTTGTTCTACTGACCTATTGTCAAATATGGAAAAAAAAAAGTATTTTTTAAATTTGATAACCATTGAAATATAATAATTACTTATGAATAAATATTTTTTTCAGAAAAACATGTTTGTGTACTCCATTGTCTTTTATATTAAAAATACTATTATTATTAATTTAATATATAAAATCATGATTGTCCTTTATTTTAAATCGCCTATATTTAAATAATAAATTCTACATATTATTAATTTCTGTCCCATTTTGAAGATTGCAAACCCAAATCTAAAAATTCACTTTTTATTTGGGTGTATTGACAATTGGATTGAACATATTTATTGATCTCTCTGTTATTTTGTACTAAAGTTGGTTTATTTGGCATTTAGTAGCTCTTGCCATATTGTTCTGCATTTAATGTTGTACAAAGAAATCGGTCTGTAGATTCTAAATGGTTTATATTTTCCAGTTTTAAATTCGTGAATTTTGGAACCAGGGTTCTTCGTCTGCAGATCATTCCGCCCGGCATCTCCTTGACCTTATGCTGCGTTTTTAACGAACTTTGAGCTGGGAGTGGCCGTGGGTCGTGGAATCGTTTGCATATTCATTGGTCAGCAGCCCACGCCTCTCAGCATCCGGAATAGAAGCTAGTCCGCGGGGGCGTGACAGAGCTCATCCACTTCCTTTGAGCGTAAATATTTTAAGTACTTTAAGCAATTCATTAATTTACATTTAGCTTTGGCCATGTTGTAGAAAAGTTGCCCATAATTTGGGGAACAGTTTGAAGAGTCCTCGGAAGCAGATATACGCTTGAAGAACGCTCGCTGCGCTTGTTGCCAACGCGAGTGGAACTTTATTGCGTTTAATTTAAAATGCCTGGTTGAATTTCTAAGCACATGTATTAGCACGACGTTGCTCGTACATAGTTTATTAAAAAAAACAAGTGATTTATATAAAGGAATACGCTTAAGTTAACAAAAGACTAAAAATCTAATTTAAAAAAGGTACAAGAGCTTGCTTAGGTATAGGAAATAACGAGTAACCTTAAATAATTTATATTTTTAAATAATTTAATAAATTGCTCATAACATTTTATGTCGACTTTATGTATACTTATCAGTGATATATTTTTTATTGAAAATCCAAGATAGTTTTTCGAATTCATGCCATCTATATATAGTCAAAAAATATTAATTACTGTGCATAATAACTGCCTGGATTGCAGTATTGTCAATGCAAAAATTCCATCATTTTCAGTTGGGAAACTGATTTGGAAAGCTTTACTTTTGGTGACAGCTCCGCTTGGGGGAGTGTGCAACCCTTTTGCTCTGTTCGAAGGTGTTTCGCAAATAGATCGAGGTCCGATGGAGCCGATGGAAAAGATAGCTCCGCTTCGATTGAAATTGGAAAACTCTCAATGGAAGCTGAACTCTTAAACGTAGCCCGGTAATTGCCAGAAGCAACAATACGGCTTTGTCCACCTCCCTGCGCCAGTCATTTGCGCTGTGCAATGTTGCACATTGAAACCATCAGTTGTGCTTAGATTACCCCTGTTTCCCCAGTCGCTACTGCTAATTGCAACAACAATTGCAATGAACTAAACTGAATCCGAGCCGAGAGCAGAAATAGAAATGGGCAAAACAGCAACGGACAGCAGCATCTAGGCCACAAGTCGAACATATCGGAGGGAAGGGAGGATTTGAGGGGATAACAAGATGGGCGCTTTTACAAATTATAATCGTCATTTGTCATGGAGGCACTGCACTCGGCAAGGACTCGCCACTCGGACTCAGTCAGTCCTTCACCCAGTTTTTTTTTATTCCGTGTGCAGGGGGGTGGCGGAGTGGAGTGTTCCTTTCTGATTTTTATTGACATATTGAAATGACATTGGATTGGTCAGGGAGGGGGGGCAGGCGATGAAAAATTGCTCAATAAAGTGAATTAGCAATGCACTTAGGAGACGAAATGGGAACAATTAGTAGATCCGGCAGCGAGCAAAAATATCACAAAAATTAATCAACTTTTCCATTAAAAACTAACATTTCAGTGACAATCCAATGTGATAATTTGGGCCAGGATATATTTAAATGACAATGTTTGTTAAATATACACTAATAAAAAGAAGAAATAGTAAAAAATAATACATGACTATTAAATTTAAAAATTTATATTAGATTTTTAATACAAATACTTAATCATAAAACTTAATACAATGCATATTAAATTGCATGATTTAATATTAAAATAATTAAATTAATGTGCATTATATATATATTTTAAATTAAATGCTTAATTAGCTTAGCTTCTAAGCCTTATTAGCTGCTTAAATTGTTATGATGAATCGGCAATGAGGTAAATTTCAGTTTTCGGATACAAATATTACCTTGCTACAAGCTTTCTCTTCGTTACGCTCGCCGCCTGCAGCGAACTCCAAAGAGCTCCAGGCCTGGGCGACATTTTCGCATGGTATCGAGCAGGATTTCGCCGAAGGCGTAGCGCATGGTCATGGTCAGGTCCTCGATGTTTCCAATGTCGCAGTTGTCCATGAGCGGCCCGTTGGCCAGAATGGCCTGGCAGGCTGTTCCGGGCACCAATCGCTCATCGAATCTGGCCAGTGAGACGCAGAAACGCAGCTGCTGGCGCTCCATCAGCCAGGGGATCACCAAGTGCCAGTTGACCCGACTCCAGTCCAAATTGTCCCCAAAGCCAGCAAACAAAACCTCGTTCTCCAATTGCTCGGGATCAGAAAAGGGGGCGGCTTGAAGTTGGAAGCGATGGACACAACAGCTAACTAGGAGTAAAAGTTTAAGATTCAGGTGGCTCATTTTTAGAAATATATGGTTGAAATGTATTCAATAAATTCGCGTCTTTGCTCAAGCTTATTTGATTTTCGACTAAAACCCGTTCAAACATTCAAACAATTCTACGTGATATGTGCCCAGTTCTTCAAATGACAGTTCAAAGCTTTTTCCGTTGATTGCAACTGAGAGCGCACGAAATAAATGCTTCAGAAACTTATCAAATCATAAGTTTTGTCAAATTACGAACCTAATTGAATTTTATATTTTCCTACCACTTATACTATTTGCATGGCAAATTATGAATTTCGTTGTTATTCTTTTAATTAACTTTGAGTCAGCTTGCTACGTGAGTTTCCATTGCTTTCGACTGCAGCACGTGGCAATTAAGGCGGCAAACTTTTTATTTTTTACTTGACTATTTTTTGTAGTTTGCAGAGAAATTAAAATAGAAATAACGTCATTGTTTGCCGCAAATATTTGAGAGAAATAAGATGCTTAATATTCCCGTATAAATATATACATTTAAAAGCAAATATAAGACTAACCAATTTACTTATTTGATTTTGATATGTTATTTATTTTTATAAAATTAAAGTAAATAACAAATTTACCACTGAAATGCAATTTGTTTGATATACTAACCACCTTTGGTTGGACAGGTTAATTTTAATTTCTGAATATTTATAAATAGTAATAAATATTATTTATATAGAAAACATTAGAGGGCAAATAGAAAACTTACAATTTTACTAATTACGTATTTTGCAAGAAAAGCTAAATAAACTCTATAATTAATATATTATTTACACAATGCTACTAGAGTAAATACTTAATTTATTTGCCAAAATGAAATTTAGTTGATATACTAACAACCTAGCTGGAACATTTAAATGTTGATATTTAAAAACTGTGTAATTGTTAATAATTGAGCCGCTGCAAGCCAAGCAAACAAAAATATTTGCATACCCGACTGAAATAACGCATTTGGGCGACGCAGCTGTAAAACATTTGCATAGATATATACAAAATCCACCATAAATCCTCGCCGAAAAAGTCAAACTAATAAAAGTCATGGGAACGTGCATAGGTTGATTGGGGCTGCTGAATTTCGGTTAGTAATAGTGGAGGTAGCGCGGGGCATTTCCGATTAAATGTTGGGGAAAAAGGGGATTCACAGCTGTCGCCGCCACACAGCAAAACAAAAATACATAAAAAAGGAGCAAACGTGCGGCAAACAAACATTGAAATTATAATTTTTTAATCATAAAACATACACAGTGACTGCTACTAGAACTTTTTGGCCAGCGAGAAGTGGGCGTGGCCATGGCCCACTGTACTGGCGCTAGGGCCATTTGCCTATTTTTTGTTGCTTGGGTCCGGAAACAAATTACAGCAAACAATTTAAAAAATGTTTGCAAACAAACAGGAACCAAAAAGGAGCAACAAAAAGGGAATGACGGAAATGTTATCTAGGCAGCAAGACAACGAGCACAAAAGCGGATGTACAGTGCAAGGACTCTTGGCCAAATAATATTGTGGGTGATGGGAAAACGAAAAGAAGTTATTGTCGTTGAGTCAGTTCGTTTTATCATAACTGAAAACCAAGTACCGCCAAAGAACCCTCCGTTTCCCCAAGTATCTTATAATGACCAGTGACCACTGTACTTGCGGAAAGGCTTGACCAAACAGCAGTCGACCAAGATAACAGCCTGCATTGTTCGCAGAGCGGAGTTTCCCTGAGTTTTCCCGAGTTTCTTTGCCTGCTTTTAACCTTTTCGTTTCACTTAGTTAAGCAAAAATGAAATTTTTATTAGCAAAATGCATAAATGAATAGAAAATAGTTAAACAAACCGAACTTCGTTCAGGTGCACCTGTGTTTCCAGCATTTTTGCCACTTTCTCGTTTTAACTGAAGTCATCGGAAAAGCCGGGTTCGAGTTTAACCAGAACCTTGTGGACAAAGGATGTACCCAATTTGATTATTCCAGCCTGGGCCATATGTAAAATTATTTTAGGTGAACAATAAAGTGGCTTAGATAAAACGAATTTCAAAATATACCGATCGAATTCCATAAAGCTCAACTAACTTTGACCGAAAGAAGGCCAGGCCATTTTTAAAAGCTTTGCAATGATTTTGGCATTACAAAGTTTTATAACAAATGGACTCCCACACTCCACTCCACCAGGCCCAAACTTTTTGCGACATATCAATTAACAAATAATATAGAAGCTGCCAAACCGAAAAGCCCAAAGGGCAAAACTATCTAAAAACTTGCACATGGGAAACTTGTTTCGCCAAAGCAAATCAGAAAGTCATCATCAGCAGGGCGACAGGGAAATGGGAAATGGGAAAACGCAGGGAAATGGGAAACCCCATTTGCATTTCGGCCCGATGAAGAAGTACTACCGGAATGTTGAGACGGCAACTGAGAGCTGAGAACTGAGAGCTGAGAACTGAGAAAGGAGGCTAGACCATTCCTGACTCTGCGCACTTTAAAAGTAATTTATCTTTTTTGCGCCCCGTCCACTGGTCTGTATGCTACATGCAATTTGCATAAAACTTACTTGCCTTGGACCCTTTCGGCATTAAATCCACTTTGTCGCCATCTACTCGTACATCAAACTGGGTTGCTTTCGCAGTTGCCGCTGCTATTGCTCTTGCATCTTGCCTTGCTGTTAATTGCAGCTCAAGCGCTGCTGGCGAATAAGTTTTCAATACAGCGGCTTGGACAAATTCTTTTGTTTCATCACTTTCCTAATGACTGGCGTGTGTGTGTGAGTGTGCGGAAAATGTGTCAACGGCAGCTGCAAGTGGCTGGATATGGATGCATCAAAGCCAAGTTATTGTGTTCGGTAAATGTGTTAGGCGGCGACAGGATAGCAGGATGGTGGCAAGCAATGCCCAAAGTTTTTCCACAAATATAAGCGGCTTTTAAAGAAGGAGTTGTTTTAAAGTTTGGGGCGAACGATGCTGCTAAGAATGCCACTTAAACGCTATTTTAGCTTGGAGTAAACAAATATCCGGATAAACTACTCAAAAACCTGTATTTTAAAAATATGTAGAAGAATATGAGAGCCACAAGAGAGAAAAATATATTTTAAATATAAGGTGAACAACAAGGACAATTTAAATTAAAGACGTTGATTATTTCTATAAGTTTGGGTAAATTAAAAAAGTTCAATATGAAAAAGAGAAATTCAAAATTAAACTAAATTATTCATAAATTATTATTTAAAAAAAAATGCAACAATAGTTTCTAAAAGTATACAAACGTGTTGCCTAACACGAAATTTTTTATTAATTAATGCGAACTTTAGAGTGTTGCGTTTATTTATAATTCATTTTAGACAATAGCTAATATTTTTTTGATGGTCTCTTGGCCCTTGAAAATAAATTATGTTGGCTTCAAATATAAATATCCACCATTTGTTCAGCAGTTAAGATAAATTAATTGCTAATTTTCAATGCTCATTTAGGTATTTGTTAGGAAACAAAAACCATTTGCCAATTATAATAAAGCTAAGTGCTAACTCAACAAATGAGTACATTTTTAAGTGCCCACATATTTAATTTTGGGCGTCGACGGGAAGCAAGAAAATACACCTCATGCAGAAGTATTTGATTTTATATTTATAACATGTTGTCGAGGTGATGGCGCACATAATTAAACACAAATAGAACGCGATATAGCAAACACAATTACAAAACACAAATTCCACAAAAAAGTAAAACAATATACAGCCTAAATGGCGGCTGTGCCTGCAGTGTGCGATTTTCCCCGTTAATTATTTAAGGCCGGGAAAAACCCTCAGTCCAACCCCATTTCCCCTTCCCAGCTGTCGGCATATTTGTTTGCGTTCGTTGAACGCATTTTCAATTAACAGAAAAACACTCGGATGGCACAGGGACCGCCTGCCATTGGGCGCCCAACTTTGATTTGTTTAATTAAATTACACTCAGACAAAGGCCTTCAATCATTCACAGCTCTCCAATCACTCATTGGCTCAATCACGCGCTCAACTTCAACGGAAGTCAATATGCAGCTGCGTGAGCGAGTGTGTGGCTTGTGTGTGTGTGTTTGCGATTTAGAAATAACACTACTCACTTTACCACCCAATGCTAGTGTTGTCCATTGGGTACTTGCTTTCTGTACACCAAAAGAAATGAATATGTATTTGTGTAGGGCTTAAAATAAATGTAAGTGAGTGAGAGGTATCAATTTAGCATTTATTGATAATAAAGATCTTAATAAAGATTTTTACTACTCATGGAATCACATTAATATCTTAGATAAACTTCATTTATGTAGATTTTTTTTTATTTACTTACTACCAAAAATGTATAACATTTGTGCCATCACTAAAATAACAAATTTCAACAGGATTTATGTCAAAAATATTCATCTAAAAAAAACCATTGAGGGATAGTAAGAAGTTATAGAGGAGGTTATGAGGAGCTATAGAATTTATTTTACCTGCATTAATATATCAAAAGTGATACATTTTCAAATTTTGAAAAACACTAAAAAACTAGGATGCAGTTAAATTTTAAGTTTTCCGACGAAGAATCTGCTACTTGATATTTACAATAAAAATATTTGTATATTTCAGAAGTGGTACAAGTTGACAATTGTTCGCAAATAACAATTGTCCAAATCGGGACATATCGGGATACTACAAAATAGGTTAAATGTTTTTTTTTTTTTTTAAACGCTTTAATTTAAGTTTTTAACAAATTTTTTTCTTACATCTTGCTTTAAGCTTGTACTTTTGAATATGAAGATTTTGTGGACAAGTGTACTTTACCTTGAAGAAAGTGGTACTCATGCCATCACTGGCCCACTACTGGATATATGTAGTGTGCTCAAGTACAACTTATCCAAATGCAGTGCAAACCGTTCGCTGAAGTTTGTGTGTTCGCACGAATCAAGAGAGCTGCCTTGGAAATGGAAGTTGGATTGAATCGTTAATTAATGCATATGAACTGGAGAGGCGAGGTAAGGTAAGCACATGGAATGTGTGTTGTGCCCAATGAAAAGAACCTAAGAAAATAAAACAAGACAGGGAAAAACAGAACAAAGAGTATGCAAATTTATACACGCCTTCATTTAGGCATTTTTGCTTGCGCTTTTCTTTTTCCTTCTGGGAAAAATTGTTTTTGTGGATTTTGTTTACACATCCCAACTTGTCTGGGCTGCATTAAATTTAAGAGAGCAAAAAATCAACCCTTTTATCGCAAAAATAAATGTATTTTGTTAGTAAAAACAAATATAGGAAAAGAAGTAAATAGGGAAAACTTAATGCAAATTAAATGAGTAACGAATACAATCAAGCTGAATTTTATTTTATGTGTGTATTTTTCTCAACCATATTTGTAAAACTTTGCCAGCTCACGACTGTGTAATTTGAAACCATACATCCAAAAACAATTTAAAGAAAATCGAGTCGTTGAAAAGAACTAAGATGGAATGCATCGTGATCCTGTGAAAAATGTGCGAATAATAAATAGTCTTGCCCAGTCACATACATATGCTAAGAAAATTTATTTGGTGGTTATTTCCGTATATTCCAAACAATTTTTCAAATGTCAACAAAATGCGGAGAACTATAATAGTTTGCTATGTCACATTACAAGACGTTTAAAGTACATATCCAGCCACCCAAACCATTGGCAAAATTGATGATTTAAAATGTAGTGGCTACTTTTTTTTTTGTGAAACTGAAGATTTAAATAATATTTAGTAGTTTACAAATTTAGATGTTAGCTTGACGACCATCTTTCATATTTTTTTCGGTTAAACAAACCGCATTTTCCAGATACTAACTAACTGTTGACTAAACAACGTCGCAAAAAAAAACTAAACAAACCAAAAACTATTCACAGCTTATCGGCAAACAATAGACCATTGAATAAATATCAAAAGCAAATAGCCATAAATATATTTTGTTCGTCACCCCATTTCTGCCCGGTTTTTCAAATAATTTTTTTTTATTACATTTTCAACCGCTTTTCCACATGGCGGGAAAACATTTTGAGGCTGGAAACGGGGAATCATTTATGCCGCTTTAAAAGCCACAATCCGCCGGCCAGAAAGCCAGGGTTTGGGCCACATGGTTCGCGGTCGCTGGCAAATGGTGAATTCTACCACTGGTAAATGGTACCAGGGATTTGCAGCCGGGGACAACAATGGCAATACGATACATAACGTAATAATGGCAACGGTAACGTGTAGACTTTTACGACATAGAAAACGCGAAAGGCGCGAAGCTTTACGATGCCCGCATCATTTGATTTTATTGCCGAGCGATGGGGGAAAAAGCAGGCCAACATCCTCCGCGGTGGCAGGAGCAGACAGATCCGGATGATGGGTTTGCAGTCGTCCTTGAGCCAGTTGTTTCTGATTAATGCCATCCGACTTGAAGGATGCAGCGGAGCACGGCACGAAATGCAAATCACCCGGCGGAATAATCAAATCCAGAACAAGAACGAGAACGAGAACGAGTACGAAACTGAGCAAAACGCCACCAAAGTTGACGACGAACGGAAGCTGCTGCACAAAGGCACCGAACAACAACACACAATTGCAGGGCCCAAAGGCAAAGGACGAAACAAGGTGCAGGTGATCCCTTAACAGTACAACAAGCACCACCCATCGAAAAAGGGTGTGCAAGGCCAGCAAAATCAATTAATTTAAAAAATATATATCCATTCATTTGCTGACATTTTTCGCAGTTAGGCAGTCTGGCAGTCGACAACTAGCAGCCCGTAGAAATCAACAAATATTTGCATAACCTGTTCGTTCGTCCGTTATTTGCCTTGTTTTATTTCTGCTGTGACATTCCGCATTTATTGACATTTTCTATTTACCAGGCTCAGACAGTCTCGCCTTTTTGACAGTCTATTTCATAGGATATCTGTGCCATTGAACGCCGGATGGGAATTTGTTGGATTGTTGCATGTTTGCTGGCATGCGAGACATTGGCATGTGGCAAAGATTGCTCGAAATATATTGGAATCCCATCCGAAAAGTGCACAGACACGAAAGGATGTTTGTTTCCGCATGAGCAGAATAAGCGCTGTTGATTGAAGCTAACCACGTTGGATATAAACCTGCAAAAAACACAGCATCGAATTAAAAATCTGATAGCAATACACACAAGCTTACTATATTCAATCAATTGTTTCGATTGATTTCCACTAAATTATAAATTTGCATACCTGCTCCGTTCTTATATTCTATTTACCGCTTGGGTTGACTTAAAAAAACTCGATTGCATTGCCAAATAATAATAGTAAATGTTTTTATCAAACACTTAATCTTATGTCAAGTCTTTTCAAAAATTATACTCAATTGTAAGGAACTAAATATTGCATATCTTTTTTATACAAAAATAAAATTTGAATGGCTTTTCAAATATATTTGCAAAGCTTTTATATGAAAAAAAAAGTCATTTCAAATCCTATGTCAATCGGAGTTCCATCAACAACAGCAAATATTGCTATTGCTCAGCCTAAAAAAATTATAAGGATTGCTACATCATAACTCGATGTCTCAATCTTTTAAATTGGAATTAATGAAGACATAGTTTCCTTAGTATATATTTAAATGATTTTAATGAATGTGATTCGTTTCGTTATTTTTATCATATCATAATCCGTACAATAAACATAATACATAATAGTTATCTCTCCTGCACTAAATACAAAGTTATACATGGTGTTGAATATAGAATATTTATATGGTATATATATATCATTTCCGACTCGTTTATCTTTCTTCCATAAAACATATTGATTGGCTGCAAAACATATTGGCCAAAATAAGATGTTATCAAAAATTAAAAAACAAAATATGTGAGGGGACACAATTTTTAAAATAATTTGGCTTCTCTCATTCTTTTTAAGGTTAAACGAAATTTTTGGTTCACTGCCAATTGCTTTCCACGGCCCTCACAGAATAGACTTAGAGATTTGAAAACTTTCTTTCGCCGAAGAGCTATCCGAAATTTTGGGGGCAAAACTAAAGCAAACCGGGTGAAGGGCTCTAATTTATGGCAGCGGTCTTACCGCTGCTGCTGGTAGATAGGAATGTTGTTCTTGACAGCATCGTTCTGCATGTGATAGCCGGGCGCCCCAACTGGTGGCCCTCCAGCCATGGACATGGCGGCCATCTGCTGGTGCAGCTGACTAAACTGATCGAGATGTGGGAGCTGCTGCTGCTGCTGCTGATGTTGCGTCTGCTGTTGTTGATGCTGCTGCGGTGACATGAAGCTCTGTGGGTTGACGGCTGGCGATCCGTTCGGGGCATACAGATTTGGGCCAGGCTGGTATCCCTGTGGAGGCGGTGGCTGCTGATGCTGTGGCGACATGTAGGCGTGGGGAGCTGACGGCTGCTGCTGCTGCGGCTGTGGCTGTTGGATTTGTGGGACTGCGGGCGGAACTTGGGCGTACTGTGACTGCTGGTCAATGTGGTAGTTGTTCTGGGGATGCTGTGGTGGCTGCTGGGGATGCTGGTTGGTCACAGGAATGGGCTGAGCAGTGTAGATGGGCTGGGGCACGGGTGCAGCAACAGCGGGCTGTGTTAGATGCGGTGGCAGCGCTGAAATAGGAATTGGAAAAGTTCATTTTTATTCGGTAATTAAAAATGGTACAGCTTCATTTATTCTCTCTACTCACAATTCATCTGTGCAGCATGTCCATTCTGATACGGCAGTGGCACCGGCCCCTGCGGTTGTCCGAGATAGCCACCACCAGGAGCCTGCGATGGAGCTCCAGTGGGAGGATTTGATACGGGGCCAGGGCCATATGGCAGCGAGTGCATGCCATGCGGATAGTTTTGAGCCGGAGGAAAACCACCGGCTGCGGGATAACCTGGAGATCCGTAGAGAGCGGCACCCGGAAAGCCAGCCAGTCCAGGCATAAAGCCACCTGCAGCGGCGGCAAACTGTCCAGCCGCAACCCGATCGTCGCGCATCAGGGTATGGTAAAGATTGATGGCGTCCACAAGGTCGCTGGACAGCTGCGTCAACTGGGCGTGTTTGCGGTCCACACGCTCCAGCTCGGCATCGATCAGCGGGCCCATTTGATGGACTTCCTGCTCCAGCTGCAGCATCTCGTCGCTGTCCTGCGAGGGATCCTCAGGATTGGCCTCGTGCAGCAGATGCAGCAGCCGGTCGATCTTTGACTCGTCGATCTCCACCGGCTGGGCAGCGGCGGCGGCGGCTGCCGCTTCAGTCTTTTGCTGCAACGCCGCAGCAGAGTCCAACTCCCTTTGCCCGGCGGCGGCGGCGGCGGCCGTCTTGTGCTGCTGATTGATGTCCAGGCGTTCGGGATCGACGGACAGATCGGCAGTGACGAAGTTCGAGGGGAAGAGACCCTCGCCGCGCTGGTTGTAGCCCTTCCACCAATTGGGATCGCTGTCGTCCAGCACATGGATGATCTCGCCTGAGAAGAAAGTCAGTTCGTTCTCCTCCGCCGCCTCGAAATCGTACAGGGCGCGAACCTTTCTCGGCTCCGGAGCCGAAGTGGCATTCGCCTCGCTGCTGATGGCACTAGAGGTGGTGGCGCCGCCAAAAGAGGGATACAACGAGGGATAGGCACTGGCGGTGCCGGCACTTGCTCCACTCCCGGTCTTGGGACTGCTGCCCTTGTTCTCCTTCAGCGACAGTTCAATGGCCTTGGCGATGTCGTCCTCCTCCTGCTGGCTGCTGACCACATTCGGATCCTTGGGCAGGGCGGCGGCCTTCTCGGCCACCGTCTTGGTGGCCTTATCGCCCAGATTCTTGAAGTCGTAGCCCTCTTGGCGCAACTGGGCGTAGAGGGCGGGTATCAAGTCCAGTTCGCGATCGTTCTTGTAGTCGTTATCAGCCCAGTTCTTTAGCACTTGTCGCATTTTCTGCGGACCATAGAAGAGGCTTTAGGAAACGGAGGAAATGGGGATAGCTACCGGATACTTACCAACGAAACCTTGGGCTGCGCCTTGGCCAGCAGTCGCCGGAACTCGGTCTCAAAGTCCCGCGAAGCCACCTCCAAGTGGAGCGGTTTTCCGCAGTTGTTGGACAAAGCGTCCAGCAGTGTGATCGCCTGCATTACCACATGGGGATCGGTGTGGCCCATGCGACGCATCACCGCCTTGAGGCAATCCTTGGCCTGGCGAGGATTCGTGGTCACCTTGTCGCAGACATCCAGGATCAGCGACCAGTTGTCGTTGGTGTTGGTCTCGCTGGTGGCCTTTTCTATTGTGTTAGAAACAAAGGAACCACATTAGCTTATCAGTAGACCAGAAATCCTGTTCTGACTCATGCCCAAATACAGATAAGGCAGTTTAAAAATTGATTGCAATAATAAAATAAAATCAATACAACTTGGCAACGCGCTAAATTGCATTAAAAGGGTGGGTGGCTGAAGGGAAGAGGGTGGATTTGTGCTACGTCACTCAAGGTCAGCGACTGCCAGCCGAAAACTCCAATAAGAAGTTCAACGAACGACGCAGAGCTGCGCACAGCATCTCACATGACTTTCTTTGTTGTCTGGCTAATTGGGATTGCGTTCTCTATGCCCAAAAGGGGTGATGTGAAGGGGTTGAAAACAGATAAATATGGAAAACTATGAAATGCAGCGGTCGGTGGTGCAGTCCAATTGGAATTGCGTCTCCTCCAATCAGCCCAACCTCCCGCTTGTCGACAGACTCACCCACGTCGGCGTCGAATGGCGACGACTGCCCAAAGATTCCCATTTTGATGACCAAACGATCGCTCAGCTATCTGCCAACAATGTGCGATGCCCCGGGGTCAACACAAACCAAATCAGTCCAATCTTTGTCTGGTTTCCCTTATTGTTTTCCCTGGGCAATCGATTTTCGGTGCGTCACGGTGGCTTAAGTACGACTTTTGCGTTGCTTTCGCCGGCGGAACCCTTCTGCGCCTTTTCTCAATGGCTTGCGGGCTGTTAAATCTATTCGACTTAGTTTAAAGCTGCCAAAAAGCGCTTACAAATTCGCTTAATTTAGGTTTATTGTGTAAAAAAGTGACTAATGGCGAGTGTGACCAGCTCCAAGAAGACGCAAAACGCCGAGCGATTTGGTTGCATAAAAGTATCGATACCTTGGCTAGAGGTATTCGTGACTTACAAATATATGTGACTATATATGACTATATGACTAAAGCACAAACATTATTTCGAATGGAATACATTTTATGAAAAATAATCTTTTTATTATAGTGGCATGTAATAAATGGCTGTATATATATATTTATTTTACTACACAACTTTTAAATAATTCAGTGTGTCGCTACACACATTAATAAAAAATTGTTTTTTTGAAGTTAAATGGACGTGATTTAATAAATTAAACATAAAGTATATAAAACTGAAATATATTCAAGCCAGTAACCGGTATACTCACATTTTAATATCTACTCCAAATGGGGGGGCTTGTTTATTTTCATGGTGTCTGATTTTTATACAGCAAATAAAATTATTATGGCTGTTTTTAAACGAACATCACAGTAGTCATATACAAATAGGATTACGAAATATATCAATTTTACCATTTAACAGTTTTACAAAGCTGTATTTGTACGGTAACAAAAATACAGTGACTTTACCGTTTCGGGAACAAGCCACTGTTCTGGTGAAAATTCACAGAATAAGTCGTTTGTAGCATGCGGTCACTCTAATCTGAGCATTCGAAAAAAACGCGCAAATAGAAGGGACGCCAAAGGGAAATAAAGTACAAAAACAGGATTTTATTAGATTTCATTGCATTTGAGTTGATAACCCAGCGCCATGACGCTCTCCCGCACAAAGCACGCCAACCGCACCCACCTGCCACACCTGCTGGCTAAGGTGCCCGAGGAGCACCAGGAGCCGATCAAGAATATGTGCCTCCAGATGATGTCCCACAGCGCCTACGGCCAACCGTGAGTAAAGCTGCTAAAATAGAAAGTCCCTTACTCAAATTGGTTTAATTAGGTACGATTGGAGTGCCCGCGACTTCGATATGGGCGCCCACTTGGGACGCGGAAAATTCGGACGTGTTTATCTGGCCCGGGAACGCCACTCGCATTACTTGGTGGCCATGAAGGTCATGTTCAAGGAGGAGCTCCGCAAGGGCTGTGTGCAGCGGCAGGTCCTTCGCGAGATCGAGATCCAGTCGCGGCTGAAACATCCGCACATCTTGCGTCTGCTCACCTGGTTCCACGATGAATCCCGCATCTACTTGGCCCTGGAGATCGCCTCCGAGGGCGAACTGTTCAAGCACCTGCGCGGAGCACCCAATCACCGGTTCGACGAACCGCGGGCTGCCAAATACACCTACCAGGTGGCAAATGCCCTTAACTACTGCCATCTGAACAACGTCATCCATCGGGATCTGAAGCCGGAGAACATCCTGCTGACCAGCACCGACGATCTGAAGCTGGCCGACTTTGGTTGGTCAGCGCACACGCCCAACAACAAGCGGAGGACACTGTGCGGCACATTGGACTACCTGCCGCCGGAGATGGTGGACGGCAACTCATACGATGACTCCGTGGACCAGTGGTGCCTGGGCATCCTGTGCTATGAGTTCGTCGTCGGCTGTCCGCCCTTCGAGTCGAACAGTACGGAGAGCACTTACAGCAAGATCAGGCGCATGGAGATCTCCTATCCATCGTATTTGTCCAAGGGCTGCAAGGAGCTTATTGGCGGGGTAAGATAATGGGAGTCCTTGACGCATTATCCGTTTATTTATATTATTTAAACCATTGCAGCTTCTCCGCAAGCAGAGCAATGGCCGAATCACCTTGGTGGATGTGATGACGCACTCGTGGGTCAAGGAGGGAATGGCCTTAAGGGAGATGCAGCTCAAGAAAGTTGAACGTGGCAAGGAGAACACGGCCAAGAATTGATTGCTTCTGAGCTTGCATTTTTTAACGACATTTTAACAATTTTACTATTATGTTTAATAAACGGTTTAAGAGATTAAAATATGTTTTGTTTGCAGTTGGGTACAATTTTTTTTAGGAAGTAATTCTAATAAAATTGCCTTGAAATTTTCTACAATTCTCAAAAGAAGTTTAGTATTAGCTTCTATTTACAATAAATGTTCAATAGATATTAAATAAAAATCTAAACAAGTATAATAAATACATTTTTTTGCCAAACCTTAAATTAAGCGATTATAGTTAGGGACAATCTAATTTAGATGTTTTATTCTGGCTTCAATATGCAGCTATAGTTTAACCCCCTTTTTAATCTATAGTGCTACGCTCATGGGCGATAGGGATTTCATTTAGTGGGCAGTGAAACATTTTCGCGCTTCCTGCGAACGGTCACACTAAATAAATAAATGACAATTTCAAGCGTAAAATAAACCCTAAAAAGTCGATGAAACGCTCGATTTGTAAATTGTGCGTCCACCAGTGAGTGGGCAAAGTGCGGCAGCCGACGCAACCGCCCCCAGGAGCCCCAGATTCCGCCCAGAAGTGGTCCGCGGGCCGCCAGACGAGCCGAGGGAATACAGCAACAATTGTTATTTTTCGCCCTCCGATTTTGCAGTGGGAGGGGGCTACGGACATCAGCCCCTTCGGTTTCTAATTGAATTAAAATCGAAAAGAAAGGGGCAGAGGCAATAGCACCCCGCTCCATTCCAAACAGTGCAATACAAGGCAGCGGAGCAATGGTCTTCATCCGGGATCCGTGTGGTGTTGCCTGCCTGGTGGTCACCTACGGAGCAGTTCTGTACGCGGACTATGTGGTCATCCGCTGGATTATACTGACCACGATGCCGGGCAGGTGAGTAATCTTATTGTTAACCCCGAAAAGAAGGTGATCCAACGATTTGAGATGCTCTATTTTGTAGCCTCTGGATGTCCTTCCACGTGGTGCTCTTCAACACCGTCGTCTTCCTGCTGGGCATGTCCCATTCGAAGGCCGTGTTCTCCGATCCGGGCACCGTGCCCCTGCCCGTCAACCGCCTGGATTTCTCTGACCTGCACACCACCAGCAAGAACAATCCGCCGCCCGGAAATGGCCACAGCAGCGAGTGGACCGTGTGCACCCGCTGCGAAACGTACAGGCCGCCGCGGGCCCATCACTGTCGCATCTGCAAGCGGTGCATCCGTCGCATGGACCACCACTGTCCCTGGATCAACAACTGTGTGGGCGAGCGCAACCAGAAGTACTTCCTGCAGTTCCTCATCTACGTGGCCCTGCTCTCGCTCTACTCCATCGCCCTCATTGTCGGCTCGTGGGTGTGGCCCTGCGAGGAGTGCAACCAGAACGTGATCGAAACCCAGTTGCGAATGTAAGTCCACGGGGGAGCAGGTGCATTGCATTAACAATAGGAAAACCTGCGGCCTTATTTGGGGTGCACTGATCCGCATGCAAACTATTTGGTTGAAAGCTGGTTAGGAATTCTTTGTTGGCTTACTTAAAACATTGACTCACCAATATCTTTCTTGAGTCATTACTTTTGAAGCTAACATCATTAAGAGTATTACTTAAAAGATTCATTTACAATAGCAATTTTGATCTTTAGTATAAATTGATTATGAACAATATTATTATAACACTATTGAATTCACAGAGCAATTTGTTATTTAATTTATTATTAAATATCCTAACACAAGTACAGATTTATATTTATTGCGCTCGTCAAAATGACGTCAAAGAAGTTCAAACTAATAATTTAGGCATCTTAATTTGACTAAAATATTAACAGTATAAAATATTACAATTTAAGTGAAGGGTTCATTTCGGATTATAAAGAAAGCAAAAGTTTGACATATTATATTAATTTTAAATAAGTTTCCAGAAAGTTTGAAGAAATTCGTTTACTTTAGATTGGTTTTTAGAGTATGAGGCAGATTTTATAGTAAAGTATTGTGTTCTTTGCGATTGCGCTTTTCATTTAAAAATTGGACTATAAAGCTTTAGTTTCATTTCGAAATAACGATCAAAGAGCAGAAATTTTGACATATAAATTCTATAACGTATTCAATAAACTTAGTAAGTAAATTCCCATTAAAAATATACTGAATCTGATAAAAATTTAAATTTAAATGTGCTCTATAGTATTATACACTGTTAGTATAATATTGATACAATTGACAATACGCTGACGTGGTGCCAATTTAAATGCCAGGTAATTGTGGCCTTACTAGGCGACTAATTTATGCCTTCCCACTCATACCTCCAATACAAAATGTTATTTTAATTGAGCTCTTGGGGTTGGAATTATAATTGGGAAAAACCCTTGAAGGATAAGAACTTTTTAAAGGAGCTCAAGGCATTTTAGTACATTTTCTTCAATAGTACGATGTTAAACACCTGTTATCCCATTTCCCTTTCAGGATTCACTCGGTTATCCTGTTGCTGGTGTCGGCGCTGTTCGGCCTGTTTGTGACGGCCATCATGGTGGACCAGCTGCATGCGATTCTGTACGACGAGACGGCCGTGGAGGCGATACAGCAGAAGGGCACCTACCGGCCCAATCGGCGCAAGTACCAGCTCCTGGCGGACGTCTTCGGACGCGGACATCCGGGGCTCTGGCTGCTGCCCTGCACCAGTCTGAACCACTCGTCGCGCTACCACGATACGCCTCTGCTGAGCCACGAGGTCTAGGACCCGGACATATTCTTTATATTTTGCCCTTGTGTTTATTGTGCGGCCAAGGCGGCCCGAGAGTGTTTTTAGTTTTTAATTATTGTGTGATTTGTTTTAATCCGCCTTTAGTCCACCCCCAGCCCCACCCACAGGCAGTAGTCACATTGATTCGTATTTCGTATTGTGTATTATATGCAGATTCCAACTTAATTTATACTTTAGTTTATAATCGTTTGAAATTATAAATATAAAGGAAGCGGAGGAGCGTACTCAAATGAAGCAGGATATTTTATAAGGAACTTTAGAAATGCATGCTTAGATCATTTGTACACCGATATATGAATGAACACCAATGAAATCTTCGGCCATCCGGGATATTTTTTACCAGTATCCAATTAAGCAGCACATTCTGATTTGAGACGCGAACAAATCTCAATTGTATACAATACTAAATAGCTATGTACCGAGCTAGGGTATAAGTCCTTATAAAAGCATTTACGCGATATTTACCCCAAGATAGACGCATATACCAAAAAATAAGAGAAAAAACCCACACAACACATAAAATACTGTGCAGCAAAAGTATTCGTATTAATTTTAATCACCTTTTAGTTGTAGTTTATTGTTCTTTTGACATTTACGACCATCGACCAGCACTAACAAGCACTTTGAATGTAACACCATCATCCGCAGTTCGTGTTCCCAATAAAGCTATCCGATATGCATAAGTAATCAATCGAGTTCGTTTCCCAGACCCTCCACGCTCAAACTGAGCTGTTCGAGCGCCTGCTTGGCCACCACACAGAGCACTCCCTCCTGCGAGCTCTTGTCCTCGAACTCCAGGATCTCCACGCACTCCTTCAGCAGATCGATGGCATCGACGAGCCGGCCCCGCAGTTCTCCGCCCTTCAGACGGCCGGCTATGAAGCCACTCTTGGCCAGGAGCACCAGCGGCACATGCAGCTCGTAGAGATTCATCGCCCGCGTTCGACTCAGTCCCGGCTCGAAGGTATTCAGCACTCGCAACACCTGGCGGCACAGCTCCGCCTTGCGCTCCAGCTGGTGATCCGGCAGCTGGACCATTTCGTAGCCCGGCACCCGTCCGTACATCTCGATGAGCAGCTGGCGCAGCCCCGTGGCGATGAAGTGCATCGGATGGATCAGGGATTTGTACTTGCGCAGCAGTCGTTCCACTTCCTCCAATCGCTTGGCCCCCATCGCCAGGGCTTGCACAGCATTCACCTCGGTTTGCAGCGATTGCAGCATCGTTTGTCCCTCCGAGCTGCTGGTGACGGATCCACAGCTGCCGCAGTTCCAACTGCTGTCTGGATCTGTTGGTTGAAGATTGGACTTGATAAGGTACGATGCATTTACTTGTGGAATATTCGACTTTACCCGTTGGCTGCCTGGGCACTTGGTTTCCCTCTGCGCACTGACCACACTTCAGGCTGGAAAAGTGTGTGCCCAGTTCGGTGGGATCCAGGCAGCGATCGCACTTGCAGTCGAAGAACTTGCCCTGCTTCAGGTGCCTCTGCCTCTGGGCAGTGCCATCCAGGGTGTACGTGTAGCTGTGATGCAGAGGCTGGCCCTCCTCCAAGTCCACCATGGCACGCAGGCGGATTCTACGGGACAGAAAATGAGAAAAAAAACACAACTAGTAGAATGCTCGATTTAAATAATATGGATATTTGATATAAGCGGAACCCCAAATAATAGTTTTAAGCCTAAAAAAACGTTCTTTTTACAGCAAATTCAAAAAAACATATTAAATTTAAATGATAAAAATCAAAAATATTTATTAAAATTTTAATTTTTATATTCAAATTGAAGTTAAATAATAATATTATTGATTTCATCATTTAAATTGATTTATAATTATAAATAAAATATTTCTTTTTTTCTAAAGTCCCTAGATATGACTTTCAAATATACGGAAAAACAATAATGTTTAAAATTATTTATAGAGAAAGGTATTTGTTTTCTTATGAAAATAATTCAAGAAACTTAAAAATGATTTAGCTTATTTGTATGAATTAAAATGCAAGATTAGAAATTTGATTCACATTGATAGAAGAACAGTGGAATATAACTCAAAGCAAATGGAGGAAGGGATTTCATAATTCATAGGATAAAAAAAAATACTTAAAGAAATTAAAATATGTTTGGCATTGTCATAGCTCAAAAAAATATACAAAGAGTCGAGTAAATATTCTTTTTATTGAATCATAAAACAAAGTATTAAAGCAATGCACAAAAATTGCATAGGGTTGATTTTGATATCAGTTACTTATGAATACACTAAAACTGAATACCTTTGCATTTTATTTACAAGGTAATTAAATTAAAGCAACGTATTAAATAAAATAAACTGAAATAAAATTAAATATATAGATTGACTTGAAGTTATTGCGACCAATTGCTAGTTTAAGTTAGTTTTTAATCTTTGCTGTTGAGTATTGAAAATGAGTAAAATGAGATTTGTATTTGAGGCAAGTCTTCTTTGAAGTATCGAAAATAATATATCTATCTTGGCTCTTTGTCCACTTACTTGTAGCCCTCGCTGGGATAGATGCTCCTGCATGTGTTTGGCACGCAGCTGTGGGCCAGGATTCCGGTGTAGGGGAAGAGACACCTCAGGGGATAGCCCTTGGGGCTCCTGGCCTCGAAGGCGTTCACCTCCAGCACACCCACCACCTGCATGATCAGCTCCTCGCTGAAACGGGAGGCCAGTTTGCAGGGACCCCGCAAGTACTGGGCAATGTTGACCCGATCCGCATGCCACACATCCGAGTCCTTCTTCCGCTCCTCCTCGTGATGCTCCATCGGGGCCACCTCACTGTCCCATCGCCCGGGATTCGCCTCCTTGGCCAGCAGAACTCTGGAATTTAAAATCACATATTGTTAGCAAAAAGAGAACTATATAAATATATATAAATTAAACACAAATCAATTTACAAATTTAATATATAATTTGAATTATAACAATTTTAAGAAAAATCCCATATATATTAGATATTATAAGCTGAAATTATATGATTATAATATGGAAAGATATCAAAATAACAATTTGAGTACTTTTAAAAGACCCAAAATCTTTTTATCAAGTAATTTTTAATATAGGGAAAATGAAAAACCATTTGGAAAAAATAATAAATAAATAAATATCTCATAAAAAATAAATAGTTTAACCTTTAACAGGAAAGCAACTCTTAATCGACGCACAAATAACAAAATATAATATATTTTATATATATAATAAATTCGAAAACGTTCATCAAAGATTTCATATATGCAATAAATTAAAACTTAAAAATTGATATAATGATAAGTAAAATATAAAGATACCAAAATAACAATTTACACGCTTTTAGAAATAAATAAAATCTTTCTATCAATAGGGGAATTTCATGTAAGATTTAAATCACAACCGAACTGAGAATGTTGAGAGATTACTATGACACCCCCGAAAAATGCGACTGGTGGCCGGATCAGTTTGTTTAATGCCTGGGTCTATTTTCGTTCCTCTCGCTGGGCTTCTGACCTGAGCGGCATGATGCAGTCCAGCTGGGGACAATGGCTGCTCCCACGGGGCAGCGGGAAGAACCGAGCCCGTGCATCCCGCAGCAGTCGACACTCCAGCTGAAAGTGGTGGTTATCCTCGTTAGGGGAGCACTCCGCACAAAGCGGCCAGCCGCATTCGCCGCAGAGCTCCTCCTCCGGATCGGGATCGAGCTCATAGCATCCCAGGCACACCACTGGTCCATTGCACTTGGGTCCCACGGCGAAGGGCAGCTCCTCGATCAGCAGGTCGTGGCCCAGAGTGGCTCCCTTGGCCACCAGATAGCGTCCGCAGACCGGACTCCATTGAATCGCCGTCCGATTCACCGACAGCGTTGCCCGCGATGTCATTTCACTGACTGACTTCGGCCCACCGAACACAGATCATGGGCAAACCTCAGAGATATGGCATCATCTCAGTATATATCCACTTTTGCCTAGCTTTGCCTCTCAAACATAAAGCATCATATTTGTGGGGCACAGTGGTTGCAGCGAAAAGTTGGGTGACTTTGAACAAACTATTCTCAATGAATTGCTTTTCAGTAGCACTCATTTCCAACATTTATTTATAAGAAATTTCTCTTATATTCTTTATAAATAGTCAATAACAAATAATTGGAAAGCCAGGCACCTTCTAGTTTTTAGTTTTGTTGGTCCACCCTAATACTCATATCTTACTTGCTTGTTCTTTATTTATTTACTATGTACCAAAGTGTATGTATATTAAAATATGCGGTGGACTAAAAGAGTACACTAATACAAATTATACCTCACAGTGTTTACGTTTTATGTTTGCCATGAAACCACTACGACCATATAAAAACAAGCATACTAGCATGGATAATAGTAGGACATAATAGTATATATATCAACATTTACAAAAAAAATATTTTCATAATTCCTATGCTTTTAACGTCATATTAAACTAAAAATATAAAATGTTTAAATGTAACATTGTTTTTCAAAACATAAACATACTTTAAATGAACTAAGAACAAGGTACTGGAATTATAAACATATCAAATTGGTTCATCCGATAGAAAATTATAGATTTTCCTGCAATAGGAAAATAACTTTTTTAAAAACTAAACAGCCCACGGGGCTTAATCAGTGCCGAAAACATTTATTTCGAAATCAAAATATTTGTATTGCTTTACATTTAATTTCAAAACTACGAAAGGGCACGGTCAAACGTTTTTGAAGTAAAAAAATTAAACATGTGTGATTTGTATATTTTTCATTTTTAAATTTTCAAAAATTAAATTACTTATTCTAATGTTGAATTTACTCAGTTATTAAATACCTAAAAATAAGAATGCTAATTATTCGACATGTACCTATTTAAAAAAAAAACAATTTGAAATACAAACACATACAAATGTTATTAAAGGGTTAAGTAGCATTGAGTTTTGATTGGAACTATTTAACCAAGAATTATAAATAAATAAAGACACATTCCAAATATTTGGTCCACTGTAATCTACACTTCGTTGTTGATCAACCGCCTACTTTGACGTCGTTGGAATGAGTTTTCGTTATATGCCGGCTCGTATGCTTTCTCCGAGAAATCAGAGAAATGGGCCGCGGCTGCCAAAACTAATATTCTGACAGGCTCCCCAGTTTCCCCGGTTCCCGCAGCACCCGCAGCACCCGCATCCCCCCGCTGGAGTCCCGCCGCACTAACCTCAATGGTGTTATGCAATCTAGTTGCGGGCAGACGCCGTCATCGCTCACATTCCCGGCGAAAGTGACACGTGCGGCGGAGAAGACCTGGCACTCTCCGCCGTGATCGGTGGCGTCACCCTCGTCCGCACACGATCCGCACAGCGGCCAGTCGCAGAGTTCGCAGCGGTCCAGCGATTCGCCGTCCTCTCCGAACTGCAGAAATTGGTAGCATCCGAGGCAGACGATTCCGCTGTCGCGTTTCGGCCCTCGGGCAAAGGGCAGCTCCTCCAGGACCAACTCACCCCGCTCCACGGAGGACGCGGTGGCCAAACAGCGGCCCAGGACGCCGTCCTCCTCCAGACGGGCCTTCAACATGCTGTCGCCGCACGAGAAATGCTCTCGCCCAGAATCGAGCCCATTTGATGCGGTTGAGTGGCAGTGGCTGCCCTGCAAGAGTGCAAGCGATTTCTATAAATAAAATGTATCAAAAGCACTTGACTTTAGTTAGAAATCATTCTTATTAAATAAAAGTGTTTACTTTTATCTTATCTATTGAAAAGATTTTCCTACGCCCTTACTCTTATTCAAAATCAGTTAAAAACTATTGCTTAATCAACTATAAACGAGACACAAGATACATACATAGATCATTTTCACACTCATCACTAGCTAAACTAAACCGAAATTCGATTAAATGGTGAAAAATAAAAGGGAAAAAACAATGGGATTGCTAAATTTTTAAAATTAAATTAGCAATAAAGTGATTTATTTATCTATCTTAGTGAGTGTTATTCCGATAATTTATCTGTTTTCCATAATCATTTATTTTTTATATTTTAATATACAAATTTATTTGTATCTAATTAATAAGTGTTATTTTAAGGCTTAATAAATGGGATTAAATATGTTTGCACCATAACCATTTTTAGCTAAAATAGATTAAAATTGATTATGTAAGTGACGTATTACCAAATACTCCAGACATCAAGCCTAACACCCAACCTGTATATCCCGAGATACCCATTACTTCATTTGTCAAACATAACACCCAGCCTGTATATCCCGAGATACCCATTAATTCATTTGTCAAACATAACATTTCAGAGCCTACTATAGGAGTTATTCAAATTAATCAGACATAAACATTTCCCGTTAGACATAAACATTTCCCACGCCTGTTATCAACAGTCCCCTTATTATAAACATTTCACACGCCTTTACCGACGACAGCAGACATAAACTTTTAAACAAAGGGTCCAGCATGAGAACCCATTCATCAGCATAAAAGCTTTGACCAATCCAAATTTAATAAACAAAAGATGCAGCCTGACAACCCACCCATCAGGCCACTAATTCGACCAATCCAAATCTTCTGATCGAAGTCCACTTTCGCTGCTAGCGTCGCTGTCACCGATAAAAGCCATAGTTATAAGAATAATGCAATTGTAAAGACAGTTCAATTTTGGGAATCTAACTATTAAGACATTACCAATAAAACTCCACTGTATATTAAAATAAAAATCGCTTTTTTTTAATATATCGCACAGTGAAAAATCTAATTGGCGCAGCCGGTAGGATACAAGTAATATCCTCGCGAGTGACTACCTAAAAAGGACTTCAAAAATCACTTCGTGAAAATAAATTTATTTGTATCCGCAAAACGAACTTACTTAAATATTGTGAAAATAAAACAACAACATTAGTCAAATCACGAATGAGGATTTCTAATGTCTAAATTCAGCGATAATAAATCTAATAATTGATATATTTCGTGTAAACAAAATTTAAAAAAAAAAAAAAAAATTTTTAATAAACTGTAAAAATGGAAATGCCATCAACATCAACAGCAGCCGCAGCCACAGCCGCAAAAGCAACACAAATTCTTACAGACGTGGCCATGAACCATTTTCTTCTGCAACTTAAGCAGATAAACAAATTTAATGGAGACCCACTCTACTTGGCTCTCTTCATAAAGGAAGTTGATGAACTAGTGTACCATTATCCTACAACATCAGAAGCCCAACATCAAATTATACAAGCAGCCATCCGAAACCTTCTAATAGGACGAGCCCGAACATTGTTGATGAGAAATATACCACAGGACTGGAAGGAATTAAGGACTTTACTTATCAGCGAATACAACAGCGCAACACCTCCACATCGGATGATTATGGAATTACGTGAGACTAAATATAAAAATAATTTACGTAGATTTGTCGAAGAATTAGAAGAACAAACAAGTAGAATATGTTGTAAACTCAGCTTAGATAACAATCCATCAAACACGGTTTTAGTTTCAAGAACTTTGAATGATACATTAGCTGAAGTGATTCGTGAAAAATTGCCAGTTCAAACATACATTACGTTGAGCAAATTTGACATATCAACTCCTCTCAAATTAAAACAAGCTGCCCAAGCTGTAGGATTGTTTGTAGATAAACCTTTAAATACCCGCTCGTATACATCCCAAAACTCTAATGATGACGACGAATATCAATACTTTAGATCAGCAAGAAACTTTAACCCAAATAATCAGTCAGATAATATTCAAAGAGAAAAAATCCAAAATAATAACTACCAAAATCGATATAACAACAATCAACAGAGACAGAACAAGTTCGACTCAAATAGGAACTGGGGTAATAATAGCAGTTATAATAATAATTCTTCTGGCAATCAATATTATCCTAGATCTTTTCAAAATAATCAAGTACAAAATGCCCAGACAACTCAAAGTACTAATATTCCCCAAAAACGTGCCCGAACCTCAGACTCAGGTCAACAACGTAGAACTGAGCCAATGGACACAAGTGAAAATTTTCAGACAATAGCCTCGGAAGAAACACCACCGCAATAAAAATTAAAATTGATAACAAACTATGCCTCTGTCTTATTGATACAGGCTCAAGCATAAATTTGATAAACGAAAACTTTTTGAAATATCCAACTAAAAATATTTCGACAAAAGTCCAAACGATAGGAGAATCTGTAACTTTAGAAAAATATATCGAATTTAGCATCCCAAAATTATTTTCATCCAAGCAAACATTTTTTTTAAAAAACTTTTCAAATCATTATGATATTCTCATAGGAAGAAAAATTCTAAAAGAAACCTCAGCCAAAATTGATTTCATGAGAAATACTATTATTCTAAATAATTACGAATTCCCAATGATAAATATAACAGAGGAACGGAATCAAACTTTTTCAAGTATAACAAACGATGACGAATATATTTATGCCATGCAAACAGACTTAACAAATAATTATTTAAGAGACGATCACTTAAATAATGAAGAAAAAACTGAACTTCATTATTTAATGTCCAAGTATTTTGATATTCAGTATCGCGAAGGTGACAATTTGACTTTCACGAACGAAATCAAACACATAATAAAAACAAAACATGAAGAACCGATTTATAGGAAACCATATAGTTATCCGTACATTTATGACACAGAAGTAGAGAAACAAATTGAGGAAATGATAAATCAAGGTATTATCAGAAAATCAAAATCTCCTTATTGTAGTCCTATTGTAATGGTACCAAAGAAAAAGGATGCATCGGGCATTCCCAAATTTCGTATGGCCATTGATTACAGAGGACTCAATGAAATAACCATAAATGACAAATTTCCTATTCCAAACATGGATGAAATTTTAGATAAATTAGGTAAATGTCAATACTTTACAACATTAGACCTAGCTAAAGGATTCCATCAAATTGAAATGGACCCAGGATCTATACAAAAAACTGCATTTTCCACCAAGAAAGGTCACTATGAGTATACTAGGATGCCATTTGGTCTAAAAAATGCCCCAGCGACATTTCAGCGTTGCATGAACAATATTTTATACGACATAATAGGTACCCATTGTCTTGTGTATTTGGACGATATTGTCATATTTTCAACCTCATTGCAAGAGCATATCCAATCTCTTAAAAAAAGTATTCGAACGTCTTCGCAGATCAAATCTTAAACTGCAATTAGATAAATGTAAGTTTATGAAACGAGAAACTGAATTTTTAGGACATATAATTACAACTGAAGGAATCAAAGCAAATCCAAATAAGATTCAAGCTATTCAAGATTTTAAAATTCCAAACTCTCCGAAACAAATAAAATCATTTTTAGGCCTTTGCGGATTTTATCGCAAATTCATAAAAGATTTCGCAAAAATCGCAAAACCAATGACTCTTTGTTTAAAGAAAGGAGCCAAAATAAATGTTAAAGATCCAACTTATAACGAAGCATTTGAAAAATTAAAAACTCTAATAAGTAACGACCCAATTCTCACATATCCAGATTTCGAAAAAAAGTTTGATTTAACTACAGATGCAAGCAATTATGCATTAGGTGCTGTTTTATCTCAAGAAGGTAAGCCTATTTGTTTCGCCAGTAGAACTTTAAATGAACATGAGTTAAATTACGCAGCTATTGAAAAAGAATTACTAGCTATAGTATGGGCAACCAAATATTTCCGCCCTTATCTTTTTGGAAGAAGTTTTAAAATATGCTCAGACCATAAACCGCTTGTTTGGTTACATAATATAAAAGAACCTAATATGAAGTTACAACGTTGGAAAATTAAATTAAGAGAATTTGATTATGAAATAAAATACATTAAAGGAAAAGAGAATCACGTAGCAGATGCTTTATCAAGAATTACAAAAAAGGAAACTAAAGATAAAAAATTTGAAGAAGTTTTTCAAAATGATGATGAATTAGAAACTACTGCAGCAACAGTGCATAGTGCACAAGAAGATAATGGCAATTGCATACAGATCACAGAACGACCTATTAACGTTTTTAATCACCAACTTATATTTGAAAAAGGAAATAAAGACACTAACGAACTTACTCACTACTTTAACAAAACTATTAATAAAATAATTTACAGTGACATGACTGACCGTTTAGCAAAAGATATAATTATAAAATTCATATGTGGACACAATTTTGTTATGTTCATTAATAATGACGAAGACTTTGCTATCTTTCAACGAGCCTATATGGATTTAATTAAACCAAACACTGGTACAAAATTAATGAAAACTTCAGTAATACTACCCAACTTGTCCACATATGCAGACTTCCACGAAAAAATATTAGAAATACACGAAAAGACGATACACCAAGGCATTAAAAAGACGTATGACGATTTTAAAACTAAATACTATTTCCCAGACGCACAAAAACTTATTCAAAACATAATAAATAAATGCGAGGCCTGTAATTTATGCAAAGCAGAGCACAGAAAAGTTGCACTCCCTTTTGAAAAGACTCCTGAAACTCAAAATATTCGTGACAAATATGTTATTGACTATTATTTTATTGACCAACGTAAATTTTTGACATGTATTGACATTCATTCAAAATTCATTTCTATCATAGAAACAAAAACCACAGACTGGATTGAAAGTAAAAAAGCATTACTCAAAATTTTTA